TGCATATACAAAGCAGCACTATAACACTTATAAACACACAAAGTTAAGTTTTCAAGGTTGAGAGGGAAAAAATATTTCTTAAACAAAGTTAAAAACGGAATCATTTGCATAAAGTATCACAGGGTTTTGAGGCTTTGTCACAACACAATGAGTAAAAGAAACTCAAGCTTTACTTCAGGAGAATTATGTGAACAATCTATAATAAATGAATTACTAGATTATTATATCTGTGTTGTTGTTGTTAAATGTTCTCGAGTTGAGTATGACTCATAGAGACCCTATGACCAACAGATCTGAGCTCTGTCCTATCCTGTGCTTTCACACTTCCTGACACACCAGAGCCTGTTGAGGCAGTCACCTGGTTGAAGGTTTTCCTCTTCTTCACTGACCCGCTCTCCTTCCAAGCATCATGTTCCCCTTCAAGGAATATCCCTTCCTAGAAACATGACCAAAGTACGTTAGTCTAAACTCTATAATTCTTGCCTTCAAAGAGTGCTTTGGTTGCACCCTCTCCAAGACATGTGTGTTTATTCTTTTTGCCACCCATGGGATGTTCAGTGCTCTTCTCCAACATCACACCTCAAAATTCTTCTTCTGTCATCCTTATTTATTGTCTAGTTCTAAGAAGCAGTTTTTAAAAAAATGTTGCTACTCACTACTTAAGAGAAAGGCCAGATGCCTGATCATCAAGGACTTATTTTTCGATTATTCTTGATTCACAGCATGTACGCCTTTAGTTAAATGTAATAAGTATACATTTAGAAAATGGACTTTTAAACTGAAAGCATTTTCATAAACATTCACTTTCAATGAGGATGATTTTTCTAGTGGCTTAATTGTAAAGACATGTATTGCCAACTCCGAGGCAGATGGTTCGAATCTATCAGCAGCTCTTTGGGGAAAAGATAAACAGTCTCCTGTGTGATTTACATCTTCTGAAATCCCACTGGAGAGTAGGTTCTGACTCGATGCCACATAACAACAACAAAATTATCAACCCCTCTCCACTTGTAGTGCAGTTACAGGATGGGGTCTGAGAATAGGGTCCCTCAGATACTTTTGAACCAATGTCTCCTCCTCAGGTAGGGCTCTGAGGTCTCTGTGGCTTCTAAAAGCCTCTCTTTTGTAGATAGTGTCAATGGAAAGGGTGAGGGATAAAAGACAGAGAAGGGGAGGGAGATAGCAAGAAGAAAATAGATATAAAAAGCAAAGGAAGTGAGCTTTGGTGGCCTAGTGGCAAGAAGCTGCTCTGCAATCCTGAAGGGGCACAGTTCAAATCCACGAGATGCTTTGCTTGAGAAGGAGGGGCCATCTCCTCCTGTGCCAGTCGAATACAAATTTCAACAATTTTCTCTTTCTTGTGAAAGAGAAAAAAGAGAAAAAAAAATCAAAGGAAGGAAATTCAGGGCCATAGATGAACTCTCTAAACCTTAAAATACACAGACACTCTCAAACAAAACAGAATCTTGACATAGATTTCGCTCTGACTCATGGTGACCCATGTCATCAGAATAGAAGTGCCCTGCACATGTTATCAGTGGCTGGTGGTTTGTTTGTGTGTGTGTTTTTAAAAATGCAGATCACCGAACCCTTTTTCTGAAGTTGCTTCTGGGTAGACTAGGACCTCCAGCCTTTTAATATGTAGCTGAGCACATGAACTGTTTGCACCATAGGACTCTTTGAAAACAGATAAATGAGACAAAAGACAAACATTGTATGATCTCACGTACACGAAACCCCCAAACTAGGCCAAAACTTGGAGACCAGAGCTTGTTAGCGGTTACCTGGGGCAGGAGGAAGGAGGAAATGGAAGTTAACGTGGAAAAGGCGCTAAGTTCCTGAGACTGTAGAAATGGAAATGGATAGTTGTGATGCTTGTATCACATGATGAGTGCAGTTAATGTTATGGAGTTGAATGAATAAATCTGGTTAAAATGAGTAATGTTCTATGTATTTGGTCACAATGAAACAAAAACAAAACAAGAGTTAAATGTCGAGCACACAGTATCTAGATGTTTGCCAACCCCAGCTTTAGGTTCTAATTCCCCATGAAGCTCAGGCTGAAGAGTATAGGTGACCTTCAGAGGCGTAGAGAGTTTCCTGGAGCTCTGCATGGATGAAGTTCTATTTTAGAAAAGTTGTTGCATGACACAGTTGAACCAGAGGACAATTGGAAGATTTCTTTTGGCAAGGCATCTCTATCTGTGGCATATGAGTGACTCTCTGGACTCACAGCCAACCCTGCCCTGTGCTATCCCTTTCCTGAAGCTTCACAGATGCTCCATTTTTCAGGTGGAGACATACTAGAATGTAGGCGAAAACAACAGAGCTGTGTTAAGTATTACCGATTATGAAAGCACCAAGTTGTCTCTCAAGAAGAGGAGCCAGTCCTTACAATTGTTTTGTTTTAGTTGTGATTTTAACAAAAGTCTACAGAAAAGTTGGATTGTCATTAATTCTTTGTTGCACATTTCCCTCCCCTTCCCATCCTCTTCCCCCTGTTCACTTCAAAAAAAAATTCACTGTGATGGAGAAGAGTACTCAATATACCATGAACTGCTAAAACAAACAGCTTCGTCCTAGAGAAGGTGAGACCAAGCTGCTCCTTGGAGGCAAGGATTCTGAAGCTCCATCTGACATAGTTTGGACATGAAAGGAGGGACCAGTCATGCTTGGGACATCATGCTTGGGAGGGTGGAGGGACAGCACAAGAGAGGAAGACCCTCGATGAGATGGATTGACTCAGTGATTGGGGTAATGGGGGTAGGTGTGTCAGAGGCAATAATTTTGGCACAGGATAGAGCAGGTTTTAAAGCTGTTGTACATAAGGTCACTATGAGTCGCAGGCGACTTGAAGACACATAACAACACTAACAACATTCATTGTTGCACAGTTACCTGGCCTCCTTCCCCCCAGTCCTCTTTGCAATGTACTTCTTATTCTGGGCTGTTGTCATACATATAATGCCTACTCATACATTTTTTTTAAACAGTACTTTCCTTCATTCCAGTGCAGTGTTCACCATCTAACTGCTTTTTATCCTATTTTCCTCCAACCATCCCATGTCAGTCCTGCTGTATAACAGTGGTGCTATGCAGTATTTGAGGCAGTCTTACCTGAGATTTATAGCCTGAAAGCTGCCTCCTTGGGGAACTAAACCATTAAAACCAAAGCCAATGCCATTGACTTACAGAAACTCTGTAGAACAGGGTAGAAGTTTGCATAGTGTCCAAGGATAGAAATTGTTAGGGAAGCCTGCTGCTTCCTATCGCTCCCCTCCCTGTCATGGAGCAGCTGGTGGGCGCAGACCGCTAGCCTTTTGGTTAGCAGCCAAATTATTTAACCATTGCACCATCGTAATCTTTACATTGAAGTTCAGAAGAGAAACTTTGATCTCAATTCTGAGAACAACAAAGATTGAGGGAAAAGATCAAGTCAGAGCAAACCTCTAATACCTCTTCAGTCAGCTGAGGTATTGTGAAGGTCAAAAGTAAACAAGTCACAGAAGATACCTTGGGCCCAAGATAGTGTTAGATGCACTGTGGCTGTCCTGCTTCCCAGATGCCTTAATCACTCAAGAAGAAAGTATACCACAAGACCAGTTAATCTTGCTCACATTACTATCTTTTAGCATTAGTGGAAAGCTTTTTCTTGTTGTTAGGTGCTGTCATGTCGAGTACAACTCATAGCGTCCCTGTGAGTAACACAGTTGAACCCTGCCCTGTCCTGAGCCTCCTCACAATCTCTGACACACCCGAGCCCACTGCTGCAGTCACTGTGTCAACCCATCTGGTTGAGGGTTTTCCTTTCTTTTGCTGACCCTCTGCTTTTCTAAGGATGATCTCCGTCTTCCTTCTCCAAGGAATAGCCCCTCCTCGTGGTGCATCCTGGGAGCATCCCTGAGTAGCACAAATTCTTTGTACTCAATTCCAAACTAAAGGCTAGTTGTTCCAATCCACCCACTGGCACAATGGAAGATAGGCCTAGCCATCTGCTGCTTTAAATATTTCCCTAACACAGCCAAGTGAACACCGTGGGGTGCATTTCTACCTGGCGTTGCCATGAGTTGCAATCTGCTTGACAGCGATGCATTAATTATTGGGCTTTTGTTATTGTTGTTGATCAAATAACCATATGGGCAGCATGCATCGGGGGATTTTTGAGAGAATTCACAGAAAGTGAAAACATTCCGCAGAAAAGAGACCTTGTACAAAGTGAAAACATTCAGCAGAAAAGTCAGCTGTAATTGACTGGCTTCCATGTCACCAAGGGTGACGGGGCACCAGCCACAGATCATCAATCTTCTGTTAGCTTTGCCCCACCTGGCTGCCTGGAAGGCAAAATGCCAATTCCACACCCCTCCGCATGCTTTTCTCTGCCTCTGTTAGTCCTAGAAAGCAAAACCTTTCTCTCTCCTGGATGACTCATTTACAAGATTTGATGGAAATGTGTTTTGGTTCAACATGCTCGCAGCCCTCGCTGGTTTTGACGGTGAGTTGTGCTGTGAAGCGTTTCCAGCTAAGTGGGGGAGCTGCCACCTGGCATTGAGATCCCTGAGGCCCAGGGGTTAAGGTTTGCATTCACTGCTTAGGGTTTCCTTTGTATTTTACAATTTTATTACTTTTTTAAAAAATTTGAGTGGAAGTTTACAAATCAAGCTAATTTTTCCATTTAGTCATTCATATACATAGTTGTATAACATTAATTACAATTGGTTAATGTGGTTGGTTAATTAATTACAATGTCTGGTCAGCCATTATTGTAACAGTATTAATCTTTCTTCTTTTTTTTTTTTTTAAATCTGTTTCTTGATCTTTAGTGCCCTCTTTCCTCCCTTTCCTTCCCTGGTAACCAGTTTAGTGTGTTTTTTTTTTCTGTGTGAACTGAGATGATAGCCCGAGAGAATGTTTCCTTTCCTGCTGCCTTCCCCCCAAGGCCCCCTTTAACTTGCTTCATACCTTTTTCTAATTCTGAACCGGTTTTTTTGTTCTCTTTGCAGACTTTGGTTTGAGCAACTGTGCCGGGATCCTGGGCTATTCTGACCCTTTCAGCACACAGTGTGGCAGCCCCGCCTATGCTGCGCCAGAACTGCTCGCCAGGAAGAAATACGGCCCCAAAATTGATGTCTGGTCCATGTGAGTTCATAGAAGTGAATTGTCCCTCCTGGTGTTTCCATGGTCACTTCTGTAAGAAATAACGTTTGAGTGACACAGCTTGAGGACGTTTTATGATAGAGACCCTGGAAAGCACAACAGGGACTTCTTTGGCATTTTCCGGTACTTCGCGGTCGTTTCTGTGCGTCCTTGCTGAGTGTCCATTACCAAAATTCATTTGGGCCCTAGAGGGAGAAGAAAATAATCTTTGTACTGAGGGAACTGATAGCCTGTGTCAGTGTCATGCATCACTTCATGTGCTTTCACCATCAGAATACAGTTCTTACCTTGGTACAGGAGACCCTATAGGGCTGCCCACCTCTCCTGCCTATGACACACCACCTCACCGTCCTGGTTCTTCAGCCACATAGGCTCCCATTTCAGTGTTTTCCCTCTGGGCTTCATACTTGCTGTTTCCTTTGCCTGGACACAGCAGCTCTAAACTCTTCGTATGACCCACTCATTTCTCCATTCCACTTTTAATTCACTGTAGCCTAGAGGCCATCTCTGAGTTTCTCATCACAGGGGTTTCCTGTGACTGTCTCCTCTCTCTTAGATTGCTTTCGACCACCTAGCTTGTGGACGAGCATGTGGGGAGTTTTGCTGCCAAGCCAAAGGCAGTGTCTCTCTGGTGGTTAAAATCCACCAACAGATCCCAAGCGAGAAAGATGAACAGTCTCCTTCCAGGTGATTTACAACCTCAGAAACATGCTAGAGTCGTTCTGACTTGATGATAGTGAATTTTGAACTTTTGGAAGTCTGTTTGTGTCCCCATTTGGAAGGAGGTTGAGAAGGGTCAGGCCCATCAGTCCATTTGCAGTGTCTTGCTCAGTGAGGCCCCGTGGGCTGGCTCCACAGTTATCCATTGAGTGAATGGCTCATCGGTTGCCCTTGAGGCACTGTATCTTGCCCAGACTCTGATTACAGAATATGCATTCTTCTTGGTCCCCTAGTGGTTAATCTTACATTCATGGTACAGTAAGCGTGGTACAGGAGTGATGGTTCCCTGGATAGGATTCAATTCCTTGGTGTGGGAAATGGACTTTAGATGAACAGGAGTGGAAAATCAGAGTGAAGTACAGAGCTTGAGGTAAGAAGGGCTAATGTCAGTGAAAGCTGCTGCTCTGAACTATCTCTCATTCTCCACTCCACTCCACTCCACTCCACTCCACCTTCAGTGCGTGGCCCTCACGCAGGTCAGTGGAAAAGCTAACATGTATTGAGTGGTATGTATCAACATTATGTCATTTGATTTTTCCCAGTAACACAGTGACATTGTTATTCCTTGTTGCCAAAGAAGACTCCAATTATAAGAGAATTTAATGAATCGGATCTGAATCAGGCAGCCACTATTTAGGAGCTCAGAATAAAGTCCCAGCTCTCTTGAAGATGGTGGGTGGGGCCCTTGCTTGGCCCTCAGAGCCTCTTCTGGAGCCCCTCTCTCTCTGCATATTCTATTCAGTCCACTCTCCAGGCTCAGCGCTTTTGAGAAGGAGCTCTGGTGGTGTGGTGGACAGGGAGTTGTGCTGCTCACCCAAGGGTGGTACCTCTCTGACTGCTCAGATCCACTAGAAGCTCCTTGGAAGAAAGATGGCTCATCTCCTCCTGTGCGATTTATAGCCTCAGAAAGCCAGTGGAGGGTCAGCTCTGGGCTGGTTCTGCTTCAGTGACAATGAGTTGAGTGCTCCTTGAACTGCCTATTCTCACCAGCCTCCTGACCTTATATATATGATTTCCTCAGCCTAGAATTCTCTTTCCTGGTCTGATACCTCTTTCCTTCCCCTCTTGTTTGTAGGATGCCACTTCTTCTGAGCAGGCCTCCATGTTCCTGGATGTCCCCTCAAACTCCTACCCTCTCCTTTCTTCACCCTCAACATGCAGTTATTGTTCACTGGCTGAAACTTGGCCTGCAGGCCTGTTGGCAGAGGCCACACTGGCTTTATTCTTATGGCTTCTCAGACCCTGGCACAGAGCCTGAGGTAGAGCAGAAAGAATGAAAGAAGGCAAAAAAAGAAAGGAGAGGAGAGAGAAAAAGATAGAAGGGAGGGAGGGAAGGTCAAAAAGGAAGGGAAGGAGGAAGAGGCATTTCATCTAAGTATAATTCAGTGGAGGAATTTTTGGCTTTCAGGAAGGGATGGCATGTTCCAGTCTCTAATGTGTAGCAACCACTTGTGAAGTTGTATGTTAAGGCAGTGATGCAAAATCAATTATAGTGGAGCTTTAGAGTAAGACTAGAAAGAAAGGCCTAGTGATCTAAAACTCAGCCAATACAAGGGGATAATCATAGGATCACACAATGATGGGTAGAGAGAAGGGTACGTAAAGAAAATGGGAAAGATCTGGTGTGTAAAACAAGGTATATGAACTTTATAAGTAAACCAGTATAAAATAATAATTTTATTAAAAACAAAACAAGACAAAAACAATCCACACCAACTCCTAGGATCCTGAAAGGTCCTAGATATTTACTAGCACAGAAATTCATTACTGCTGCTCTGTGTTCTATTATTTAAATTCTGAAATGGTTTCTAGAATTTTTTTACATGGGAATGTGAAAACTATTGTATACAATTAATTAATAAAGTTACACTTTGGGGGGAAAATCAGCGTGTAAAAACTCTGTGGATCACAAAGCCCAATCTGCAAGCAGTCATGGGTTTGTACAGGACCAGCTGGGTAGTGGTTCTCACAGTACCTGAGACTCCATGAGTCAGGAGACAACTCTCTGACAGTGAGCAACATGAGTGGACTGAAGTTAGAGGGTTAGTGGCTAAGCTGGAATAGAAGGCAAACCTGGAAACATGACCCACTGTGATGGTCTTGAAGTGAGAGGAATTTTGACAGTTTATGTTAAGGATATAGGGGAGCCAGTGACCAGAAGATTCTGAGGGGTACAGAGACCCTAGAAACTACCTAGCCAGAAAATGCAATTATTCCCAGGATTTGGGCTAAGGAGTCTTGTCCAGCCCATGCAGAGGGGTGAAAGGAGTTAGTTGACCTCAGCTTTCTTTCCTCTGCCTAGTATTGCTAATGCCTAGTTATGTGATCTGCATTCATTATCTCCTTTGGATTCCAGGACAAGCCAGTGTGTCATGTCTGCTGGCATTATAGACAGAGGCAGAGACCCTGGAGGAGGCTGCCACAGGCTTGTAGGTGGTGGGGCTACGCCTGTGTTCCAGAGTGCTGGCTGCAGCTCGAGTGTCTGCGCACCAGCCTTGGCGAGCAGAAGTGAGGACATGTCTGCAGATAGGGTATGGAGGAGGCATGAGGAGATAGACTGGGGACCTCTCAGAGAGCATCAGGAGCAGCTGCAGACGATGCCTGTGTGCATAGGGCTCTATACAGTAACAGAACCTCTGAGGTTTTTTCAATTCATTTTATCCCCATGTGATAAAGTAGAATTGCGCCATAGGCTTTTCTAGACAGTAGTCTTTACAGAAACAGATCTCTAGCTCTTTTGTCTCCCTTGGCACTACCCTATCCTGCGCCATCCCCGTGATTTCTGTCCTGCTCAAGCCCATCGTAGGTAATTGTATAAATCCATCTAGTTGAAAATATGCCCAAATGAGTAAGGTGATGTTTCACCATGCTTGCCTCCAAGAACCACTCTGGTTGCACTTCTTTCACGACAGGGGTGTGTGTGTGTGTGTGTGTGTGTGTGTGTGTGTGTGTGTGTTTTCTTGGCAGTCCATGGTATATTCAGTACTCTTTTTTTTTAATTATTATTTTTGTGTGAGTGTACCGTCAAATCAGATCTGACTGGTACAGGAGGAGATTGTTCCTCCTTCCCCAGCAGAGCATCTAGTGGATTCGAACCATGCGCCTCTGGGATTGTAGTTGCAGCTCCTTGCCACTAGGCCACCAGAGCTCCCCTAGTACTCTTCTTTAGACTCTACTTTGAGGGAATACTTATTCTCTAGTCTCATACTGAGTGCCTTCCAGCCTGAGGGACTTATCTTCTTACACTGTATTCAGCAGTGGTCTTCTGTTGTCCATAGAGTTTTCTTTTTTTTTTTATGCAAAGTCCTATTTTCTTTTCTTTTTTTTTAAATTTTATTAGTTTTAATGAACATTTACAGAGATTTTGAGTTT